TTCATTTTTTCATCGTTTTGTGCACTTTGTTTAATAAAGAGTCGCGGTACCAAGCTTGCACGGATTACATTTTGAGTACATTGTACTCAAATATCCGATCACTTCGATCTGCGTATAGAACTAGGCGAATGACGAGACCGAAAGAAAACTTTTACAATTGATGACTGCCGCTCGGCACTGCCAATAACGTCTCGCTCTTTGGCATCAGACTAGGGTCGCTTCGTCCAGGTTGGATGTTTTCGAAAAAACATATCTTGACGACGTCGCCAATCACCGCAATTTTCTTAATGTTCGCATCGACTGGCGTTTCGAGTGCTCTGTTTCTTTAAAGTAGACGAACGCGAAGTTTTTATTGCAATTTGCAAATCCACTATATTCCCCTTTTCTTTGTTTCGCGATTCGGCCACCCGACTTGCTCGAGATTTAGCTGTTCACTTATATGGGTGATAGCATCCCGCTCCTGTCCATTGTGTCTTTTCCACTGGGCGGTGTTACCTACATTGGAGTGGTTGGGCGAATGTTGGGCGCATCTGGTTTTTTCACTCGTATTATAATACACAACCGTAACCCCCATGTTTTGTCTCTCATGTAGACTATAGACAAGCTCATTTTTACAAGGAAACCGCGCAGCGTCCCTAGCGGCACGCCACCGGCCCCACGCATGCGCGATGGAGTGTGGACAAGAAGCGCCGCGTCCCGAGTCATCAGGCCATTGAAATGTCACGTCGTCGGCGTCGGTGTGAGTCTCGTGCTCCTTTTCGCGTCGGAATTGTTTCTTCTACATCTTTTTAACAATGCATTACCACTTGAGTGGCCTGGCCGGAATGTAAGAGGCCTCGTTATATCGCAAAACTTCACGTGAATAATGTGACGTGCGGGGATTCATTCACGTGGACGCAGCACAATGGACGGTAAAACGGATGAGATTCTGATCGCTGTTTTCACTCACGACGTCGGTCGGGCTGCAGACGCGTGGACGGTGGCTGCGATGCTCGACGTCGATACTTAAAATTGCAAGCAGAATGGGGAAAGGTCAATCAGGCAGAGCAAGTGGGTGATGGACAACTATAAACAAAGATCAACATCTCCTACTGTTTACACCGAGCATGCTTACCCCAATCATCCTTGAAACTTCAGTGTTTTGAGCCCTGCCATTACTTCTTATCCCCATTACCGGGTGTACGTTTGGTATCGGACTGCTGTCGTCTAAACGAGCAGACGACAGCAAGCGAACAAGTTTCAAAGTGTAGACGACAGTTCGAACGATCAGGCGGCAGTTTGAGCGCGGATAAACGTTACTAGAACAACTCAGTTGGGAAATCGCCATGAGCCTGCTTTGAAAATATGGCTTTGATTTGTACTCGAGAACCGGACTGATGGCCAGCGCAACATCGCCATTTGTCTCACAGCGGCCACCTTGGTGTCCCGGAATTCTGGGTATGTCTGCACGAATGGGTTCCGGTCGAGTCGCGCAGGGGCCGGTGGCGTCATCTCGCAAAGCCTTTTCGCAGTGGCAATATAAATGAACTTTCATGTTTTGACTAGTCGCTAAAGTGTGGCGCTGTTATCGTGCTTAGTTTGGTGTCGGTGTACGCGAACGGTCTGGATTACAAATGTGAGTTTCTCAACTGAGTTTTATTAACGTTGGTCTGGACACACTCCAGTAGTTTGCGAGTTGTCCGGACAACTTGACGGTTTTTCGGCGTTCATGTTGGAACAAAGAAAATAAATCTGACGACCACAATTATTTCTAACTTTAACCCAAAGTGCATCCCGCAGAAGCAATTATGGTCCGACTGCGTCTGGTTTTCAATTTTCACGACACCTATCCACATTCTCGGAAGAACCGACTAGGCAGAAAACACATGGGAGCCTGGTCGCCGCGCGCCAACCAATGGGACCATTGGGATCAGGGAAACTAGGTGCCGTTTTCGCGCTTTAAACTGATGACGTCAGCTCGCTCCATGGGACAGTTAATGCTTTCGCATTAATAACAAAGAAATGCACGTCCCGAACGACGACTTCCTTCCACAGCCCCAGACCGGAAATGCGCCTGATGGGCCGCCACCGCGGTGTGATGTAACAGAGCTGAGATACCGTATAACAGTTTATATAAAAAAAAAAAAGAAACACTTGCTAGGTGGCGCAAGCCGGTGCCCTTTTCAAAATGTTAATTTGGGTGTATCTATCTATCTATTCATTGAGAGGATATCGTTTTCGAAATCTTCCACTCTGCGAGAAGCTGGGCAATTCCAAAAGTGCAACTTGCGGTAAGAAAACAAAACAAAAAAAAAAGACCGGAAAGTTAGAACTTTAGAAACGCTGCTATACATAGTTTTATCACTACTCAGATCACCAGACGAGGCTATTCGCGTTTCAGATCGTTGCTCGCCCTGTCGCGGAGGGAATGAGAAGCGCTGTAGGGATGGGATTGTATGAGAGTTTTTCTTCTTTTTTTTTTTTTTTGTAAAAAAATAAACTAATCTTATCTTTTTTTTTATCTTTACTTCTCCTGCTCAGCGTGCTCGTGATCGTGGCTCGCAATTTTACACGGACTTCTTATACAGGCTAGACCGTTTCCATTGATTTTAAACTGTTTTTACTCTGTAACAAAGTTGTTAATTAAAAAATGATGCGTTTGGCGCCCGTCACGATAATTTGTCACATTTGGATAGCCATAGCTATTGGAGCGTTTGAAATTAAATCATAAGCAATACATTATATTACATCTTGAGAAGCCACGTTTCAACATATCTGGATTTTATTATTATTAATACAAATTTTGATAATTTAGGCCCTCAATAATCGCCGCAATTACAATATATGCCTATTTAAGCATAAAATCTTTTACAGAAAGGTATCATTGTTTTGTATATAAAAAACTGACATTGCAATCAAGATATCCATAAGCAAAGGATACAGTATTAAGTTTTTTTAGTCTAGTGTTGCCTAAACTGAGACAAAACCATTTTGAAGTGCATGGATCAGACACGTATGTAAGAAAATAAAATTTTCCGTGAATAATTTTTAGTATTCTGTAATTACACCATAAGACATATATAGAGTTAGGAGTGAAACCATTATTAGCATCAACATCGAGACATTATGTCTAAAATAGAAGTTAGTTTCGGTTTAGTTCGTGAGTCAGAATGTCTCCTAGCGTGGCACGCGTGCATAACACTCCAGCTTCTTAGTGTAAGTGAGAATAATTTGTGTGGCTTAGTGAAGCCAACAGACCCGACAACCTGTACTGTCTGTAGACAGTCTGTATTGTCTAAAAAACTAGATAAAAAACGCAGCCCATATAGACCGTTCCATTGGGGTCATAGCATAGAGGGTAATAGAGAAAAAAAATGCCCCCCTCTCACCCCTGATGTCGTCTGCTTCGCCTAGTTGGCTGTACCTAGCATACGGCTGGCGTACAAACTCCGTTTAAAATCCCATCATTTTGGAAATGTCAAGCGCAGGTGCACAGATTTTGGTATGCCAGTTATCGTGTAATACTATGTTAGATAAAAACTACTGACAGGTTCCGATTGCGCTGTTACCTGGGTGCAAATAAAAGTTAAAAATAAGGAAACTGTGTCAAATTGGCCGGTCTCTCCTTCGAAAAGTAAATCAGGTTGCTGTACCTTTTTTACTCTACAACGTTCGTACTGGTGTAGGCCTTTAGCGTCCATGAGTGAAAGTCTGTATTAATAGATAAAAACGTGCTCTCCTGCCACAATACACTCAGAAGTTGAGGGTAGGATTGCCGGCTGACTCAACTGCTATTTAAGTAACGGAAAAAAAGATTTTCCGTTACTTACTAGTTTATCATTTACCGAAATAGAACAACAGATAGCTATAGGCTGATTTTGGAGTAGCCACAACTACTCTAAGAACGCGAACCAATTCACAACGGCAGCCAGGAGCGAGAGTTCGATGTTCCGCACAGCCCGCCGGTACAGCCCAAAGATGGAGAGTGGCAACCTTCCGGTTTGTAGTCTGCTGGCGGAGTCGGGCGCGTGCCCTCTCTCTCGTTTTACACCGCCGATCCCGCTGAACTTCCTGGATGTATGGAGAGGGCGCTGCTGTTGAACAAAATGATGCCGCCCAGAAAGCGCTATATGGAATGGTCTCCAGCGTTCGCTCTGACAAAGGGGAGAGTGGTGGGAGGAGCTTCCACTTCGTTCTTGACCTGTCCCCGACTACACTGTAGAGTATAGACACACTATAGATACACTATAGAGTATAGACTAGGGTGTCGCACACCGTTCCCCGGACTTCTAGTGGGCGCCGCCAATTCGGTGCTTAGTGCATATCGGACTCGATTGGCAATCATAACGATTAGAAAATGCAATCACCTAACTTTAGGTACGGCGTCGGGAAGTTCAGGACAATATAGAGGTTTGGTTTTGTCGCTGACAGTTTTGAGTTTTCTGGAGGAGGGAGTGCCGGTTAAGCTGTGTTAAGCGCGATCCAAACCAACGCTTCTTTTTGCGCCTGTAGGTCGTGCGGCTGCGGATGTGACGCATTTCCTGACGTTTTTGCTGTTTCCGGGCGCGCTTTCTGAGTCAGAACCGTGCGCTTTGGTTTGGACGGGCCAGCTTCGGGCGAGCGCGCACGCGCGCAACAGACTGGCCGGCCAGGCCAGTCTGTCGCAGCCAGAAGGCGGCGAGAGAGAGAGAGAGATCGCATTGTTATGTTGGAAGAGAATAAAAGGGGGGGGGGGGGGGGAGGAGAGGCGCTTTTGTCACTTGCTCTGAGAAGGCGGCGAAGAAACGCGGAGCCGGAACTAGCTTGCCCTCCACCGATTGGCCGGGACACAGGAGCGCCCTATACGTCACCGCGCGTTTTTGTGCGCGTTGAGAAAGAAGTCGAAATTATCCAACTTTTTTGTGCGCGCCCGGAAGGAGCGAAGAAGTGGCGCGACGTCACGAAAACACGTCACATCCGCAGCCGCACGACCTGCAGGCGCAAAAAGAAGCGTTGGTTTGGATCGCGCTTTAGATACTTCGTTGTTCTGTTCATCGTTTTTTATTGCTCCTACATCTCAGGGTAACCTTTTTAATGTTCTTACGTCTCAGGGTAACTATGGATGAGTGCCGGTTCTTGCGATTTCAGGTAAAGCCTCATATTGGCGAGGAGATAGAACTATTGAAGGCCACAGTTTCATTGTCATCCTCATCACCAAAAACAATCGCTCTGTGGCAAACAACTCCGACGCCACCAGTTACCTAGCATAAGCCTCATCGTGTCCGTGCTACCTACATATCTGTTTGTACCGAAGTACTCGAAGTACGCTATTGAATGGGGTATGCAGCGCAGAGGACTGCAACACGTACGCGGCAATGCGGTCACTGTCCGCTTTCGCCGCAGTTGCAACGCTGCTATATATGATGACATGATACGCAGTTGAGCAGGTCCTCTCCTTCAACGAGACACCGGTTGTTTTCGCCGATGTCGTACATGACTATCCCAACACGGAAGGTAACTGAAAAGTGAAGTGCCCGTTTTGTAAAATCCTTCAGAATAAACACGGACGCCGTGCCAACCTCGCCACGATCCTGCGCGCGCGGCCGACACGACGCGGCTGCTTCGGCACTCCCGCACGTCACTACGCACGCGATTGTTTTGCCTTCGAGAGAGGACTTCGATGACATTGAACGCATGAGGGGACAAGATTACTTTTATCTAGATTCGTTTAGAAGAAACTGATGCGTACCTTTCACGAGCTACGCGTCGTCGTCGTTGACCGCAGCGAATGCACTAATCTTTGCGGTCGGAGGGTTTGTTTTCCACGCAGCCTCAGTTCACGAGGTGGCCGCTAGAAAGCGCCTAACTTCGATATCTTTTCCAATAAGAGACCCTTTTCGTAAATCATCGCCATCGCCTGTTGGCCATTGTTTGATCACGTACCCTGGGCATGTATTGGAAGCGACGATTGCGCGTCAACGTTCGGCAAGGACTCGCATTCAATTACTTGTTGCGTAGCAACGGCGACCGCCGGTGTTGCTTGACCAACTTTTGAATGGAGTACATCGGTAGCAACGATTATAAGCACCAAGATGGCTGAAGTTTCGGTACTCTTAAGTGTAACCTATACCTAGGGGTTCTAGTCCCAGCATTGTAACCCTCGTCCCGTGACTTTCGAGAGAGGCCTATATATCTCATTTCTTCCTTTTACCGCGGAAAAATCCGACGCAGGAACGAATCGACACCGACTACGGACATCAGGATGGCGTACGGCAGCTCCGCCTTCTCCCTGGGTGTCAAGCTGCGAGTGAAGCGATACATTCGCCACGAGAGCTTCGTTCTGTCCAGCTTCGAGAACGACCTGGCCATTCTGGTCCTTGACCACGACCTCAAGCTGGGGCCCAAGGCCAGGATCATCTGCCTTCCCAAAAAACCGCGGATCATCGAAGGACAGACCGTCGCCGTGGCAGGCTGGGGCGTCCTCAAAGAGAGTACGAACTTTTACGTTATTTTAAGCGGCGTTCACATTGCTAATGCATCGTGCGAGGATCATAGGCTAGGTGTCGCAAGCTACCGCCCGTTACGAAAGGTAAATCCATTAACGTCCATCCATCCAGTTTGTAGGCACTGTTTCAGGCGTGTTTCTTCCTTGCATGTCGGCTTTTTACGGTGCTTCTTTAAACTCTGTCTGCAGACATTTTGGTATCGTACATATGTATGAATCAAACATGATTCGAACATGTTTGAGGCGTGTCTGCTTATAATTATGTCATTATGTCTGCAGCACACAACGTATATTTCGTATGATATCTGAGCAGTTTCCCTGGGGGCTCTCATGCTCAAAGCAGAAGTCCCAAACACGCCGGGTGCGACTCCTTGGCATCTGACATTCAAGCACTGCCTTTCGGCGAGCACCCAGAAAGTCTTGCGCCCTAACGGGTTTATATTTCGTTTCAACTTTAATCTGAGCGTAGCGGACGCTGGGAGCCATGCCAGCCAATCCAGCGTTGAAAGAGTGCCGTGTGACCTTGAGCTCCCTGTGCCACTCTACCCAACCGGCAGGTCTCTTGATTTTTTCCCGGCGCTGGATCGGCTGGGATAGCTCGTGGCGTCCACTGCGCTCGAACCGAAGGTGGAGCGGATTATAGGTTGTTTTCTCTTCATTTAGGATAAGAGACCATCTTCAATGCTTTTTCACTTCTTTTCGAAGCATAGCCATGCCATTCAAGTGGTTTATATAATTGCAGACTATACTTAAAATTTTTGCATCGCGAATTTCTCTCTGTAAAGGCTCTGTTATACTCCGACGTAACGCGTGTGCGCGTGCGAGCGCGTCACAGCGACGTCATGTCGGCGAAAACCCGACGCTCTATACTCCGGCGTCGTGGCGTAACCGGCGCGACCGGCGGCGTTCGACGCAGCCTGACCGCCTCGACGCCAAAATGGAGCATGCCGTATTCCGCGCCGGCCGCGCCAGCGACGCCGCACCAGGATGCATCACGCGCTGGCTCCCGGCAGCCCTCGCACGGGAAGCGCGGCGAATACGAGCAATAGCAGACGACAGGAGCTCCACTCCGTGTGGCGTCATGTTTGAAGAATCGGACTCGGTCGGTCGAGAAGCTGATCGAGGGAATTCGTCCTCACCCGTGCGTCTACGACTCAAGGAAGCTTGAGTACCGTAGAAAGGGCGCTTGTCAAAGATGTACCGTATGTACATTGACCGCCAACGCTTGCGGCGCAGGCGGTGCACCAACAGTGCAAGCGCGAGTTTTCGTCGTGCAAGGTGCGTCCACGCCATCGCTCGAACTTGGCGCTCAAGAAGCGCGAGAATTTTCGTCTGCTGTTCGAAACGAAAAGGAACCGGAAGTGGCGCACTCTCGCAAGGAACGTGCCCTCGTAGTCAGATTCTGCGCATGCGCCGCGCCGGCGGCCCACCGACGCGAGCCGCGGGAGCCGCCAGGGCCGCCGGAGTATAAAGAGGGCGAATTTTTGACGCACGCAGCGTGACTGACGTGACGTAGCCGACTTCGGCCATCGTTCGCTTGCGCGCGCGTTAAGTTGGAGTATAACAGAGCCTTTAATCTTTGCTTCCCGGTCTACTGTGTACATAAGATAATAAATGGCTTCTCCATTAATACCCTTCGCTCCATTCCCACACTCCTAAACAGCTATTAGCGACTGGAGCAAAACGGGCGGCACCTAGTGGCAAAGCGCTGAACTCAACGAAACAGTTAATTTCGTGATTTCGGCTCGCCACTTCTGGCTGCAGGGATTTCATGTTGTCGGTGGTTGGCACGATGGAACGGGTGTCCCGGTGACTCTGTTCTTAATATCGAACAAGGGTTTTTCCCAGGTTGCTGTGAACGGAACCATTGAGTGAACAAGACAGTGTGCGTTTATCAACGTTCATCAGCACAGCAGCCCTTGCATTGCTTCCCCAAGAAGGTCAAGCCTCTAGCAGCTGGCCTACGCCAACACATCGCCGCAGGTTTGAAACTTAGGGAACAAAAACCGGGGCAGACCATGTTGAGTTTATGCGATGGTTTCCTGCTGAACCCCGAGCTTTGTGCTTCGAGCTACTGTACGATCTGTCTAAGACCGCAATACCTATTTTTTCGACAGTGGCGACCCATATAAGTCGCGGCAGTCGCGAATAATCCCTAACAGGATCGGAAGTTAGCAGACTGTCTGCCTTGAGCGTGGGCTTTCTGTTTCTGATAAGACATGAACAACCAGCCAAAATCCGACTGAAGGCAACGAGCGCCTGCTAAAGGCGGAGCATTTACTGGGTTTTTTAAAGGGGCACTGAGGCGAATTTGGGAATCGTCTTGTTATGGCGCGAACTTAATCTACTCACCCTACGCATCGTAAAAAAACCCAGATTTACAATCACGCGTGGCCCTTTTCGGTCTTGAAAACGCGACCAAACGTCGCAACTGGCCCTCTTTTCCCGGGAGATCTAAACGAAAAGGGGTGTCGAGGTGTTTGACCGTATTTTTAAGCTCGAAAAATTCTGGGCGGGATTGTAATTTTGGGTTTTATAGGATGCGTAGGTTGAGTAAATTGAGTTCGCGCCAGCCATCGGCAAAGACATTGCACGGGCTCTGTCATTTTGCAACTTAGATAATCCCAGTAGAACACTATCGATATTCTAAGGCTTACTATTGAACGAAACAAAACAGCAGAAAAACACATTCCCTGCATTTACTTTGGTCAGTTTTTATTTCCTCGTTGCTTTCAAAGTGAGACACAGCAGTAGTGCGGCATTACTTTCAGAGCAGCGCTCCTCCCGCTGTACAGTGAACTAGACTCTGAATCAGTGTTGCAAAATGGGAGCCCCCCCCCCCCCCCCCCCCCATCCCCATTCCATTCCAATTCCATTCCGGGAATCAGAGTTTTCGATAATTCAATTCCTTTCAACTCCTAGGAATGGAGACACTGAACCCATTCCCACTCCTGGAATGGATGAATCGTTCCATTCCATTCCTCTAATTCCTAAACGTAAAAATTGGCACTTGACAGCTACGCTGTTCAATATGTCCGGCAAAAGCAGCATAAAGCTGACATGATCAAATGCATAAACAATTACTAAAAAATGCTAAATCTCTCAAAAAAAGCACTGATCTTACTAAGCTCACGGTGCTGGATTGCCTGGGGTGACTCAAAGCGCCCGCAGTGGTCCATCGAAAGGTGAAACAAGGTATGCAGAGATTAAAGTCAAAGGAAATGAGCGGGCATCCGCTAGCTTGCTTCTAACCAGTGGTGCGGAGTTTCCACTCCGGAGTTGGAGTGATTCCGGAATCATTCCGCATTTTCACGACCCCGGAATGGAATGGGAATGGAATGGCGGCAACGTTAAGGGCAATGGAATGGGAATGGAATTAGGTGCCCTTCGCCCGGAATGGAATGGGAATGAAATGGGGCACGGTTTTTTTTTTTTTGTGTGTGTGTGTGTGTTTACGGTCAGCTAAGCCGGGCGTGTCAGCGAGTCAGTTGCTCAGAAATAAAATGAGAGGGAACCTGCTAGCCCGCATGGAGCCCTAACAAACTTATACAAAAAAAAATGCAAAACATAAAACAAGCGTCAAAGCAAAAGGGGAAAGGGGAATAACGTGGCGCCTTTCACGGACGCGCAGGCGTCGGGCTTCGATGGCGTTGCACGAGAGCGAAACAAGAAACGAAGCACCAAGCAAAAGAAAAGGGAGCGGCAAAGGAAGAAACCGCCATGCACAACTCCTCATCGTCCTTCTTGTCATGCTTTTTTTGTTGCTGCGACGGCTTGTAGAATGCACGAGCGCGCACAGACTGAGATCCGGGAGCGGAAGCGACTCATAACTCGCAGAGCTCTGATAACTCGTTAGCCTCGTTTACATGAAAGCGACTTCAGCGCATCGACTCCACCCGTTCTTCGAACGAAGCCGACGCGGCAACGTTTACATGAATGCGCACCAAGCCCTACACGAAGGTGGCGACACGCCGTGTCAGAGCTCGAAGTTATGCAATTCCGGAACCAGCCGCACAACGTTTTCCGGTGCATCGAACGTGGAGGCCACAGTGGAATCATAACCAGTGGTCCCACTCAAGGCCACTTCCGGTAATCGCGCATACACAGCGCTCCTCAAGCCGGATGGCGACAACTGAAGTTGTCAAACAAAAACAAACAAAAAAACAGGGTAAAAAAGAATCGGAATTGACTAAATTTAGTGCGTTAATGTTAATATTTTTAGAAAACATAATAAGCTAGGTAATATTGATAAACCAACATGGAAAGAAAAAATAGAGCAGTTACCGTTAGCTTCAAAAAGTTCATTGCCCTAACCCACGACCGTGCCCTAACCGAAGCCATGTCGCCGGTAGCATTGTCGGTGTTGCTGTTCTGCGAATTTCTCTTTCCTAGCACATTTCCCTTTCGGTTGTATCCTCGCATGAGTTACCGAATCACGCGATGAATGTGTTCTAAATGGGCCTGCTCAGGCAAGAAGCCAAAAAGCCGGGGACTCACTTCGCCGTTCGAGATTCCGGGATTCCGTTTCAAGTTCGTTGCTGGTGAGTGCAAACATTTTAAAGTGCTCGTGCTGTCCTTCGCGTCAGGCCATGGCACGATCGTCTTTTCTCCAACGCAGTGCATGTGACTCGGTTAATTTCTTAGCCGTATGTACGTCGGACGTGACTTGTGAAACGGTCGAGCGTAATGAATCGCTTGTTCACGCGCAACCTCCACGTATCGAAGCTTGCACACCACTTTACTGGAAAAATATAAATATCGTGGCAAATGACGCGGATCAGGACCGAACCTGGGATTTGCTAATCTGTAAAATCATAAAAGAGAAGATGTCATCATAGTTACCAGTTGTTATGTATTTGCAAACAGGCTAAGCAAGTTGACTGGGCACATTGAACATAATTCTGAATTAAATAGTCAAATGGATGTCCCTTCAATGGAATTAACAGAAGGCACCTCTAAAAAAAGTGTTGCTCAAACATGCCAATT